CCCCCAGGCTCAGCACCCCCAGGCTCGGCACCTCCAGGCTCAGCACCCCCAGGCACAGCACCCCCAGGCGCAGCACCCCCAGGCTCAGCACCCCTAGGCACAGCACCCCCAGGCACAGCACCCCCAGGCTCAGCACCCCCAGGCTCAGCACCCCCAGACTCCGCACCCCCAGGCTCAGCTCCCACAGCAGCACCAGAGTCACCAGTGACCTCGACAGGCTCGACCGCGTCTACCTGGGACACACCTGAAGGGGCAGGACCCTGAGGGGGGAGGGGGACTACCGGGGGGGGACCTGGTACCAAGAAGAGCGGGGGTGGGGGGAGGGACGGAGTGCGGTAGGGGAAGAGGCGGTAGTAGGGTACCGACTCGTCGAACGTGACGTCCTGGGAGGACAGAACACGTCGAGAGGTGGGGTGGTAAAACTGCCACCCAGGGGCGTCGGGGGGGAACCCCAGGAAGACGCAGGGAGAAGCACGAGGGGACAGCTTGTCCGCAGACAGGTCGCGAACAAACGCCCGAGATCCCCAGACCCGGAACGCCGACGCATCGCCAACCTTCCCCGTCCACAGCAGGGCTGGGGAGGTCTCCGGTCGAGAGACCCTGGGGTGGAGGTTGATCTGGTGCGCAGCGTACCTGACCGCAAACGGCCACAGAAAATGGGGAGCAGCCGCATGCATCATGGACGTACGAGCGACGTCCAAGACCATGCCAATGCGGCGCTCAGCAATCCCATTCTGCTGTGGTGAGTCCGGAAGCGTGAAGGTCTGACGGATGCCTCGCGCACGACAGTAGGCACTCAGGAGGCTAGAGGAGAACTCTCCGCCTCTGTCCGAGTGCAGACGCAAAACAGGGAAGTCAGAGCCAAAGCTCCTCCGAAGTTGGAGACGAGCTGCGCGGATCCAGTCGATCAACACCTCAGTGACCTCACCCTTGCTGCGCAAGGGGAAGACTGTGGTGTAACGCGAGTAGTCGTCAACCACCAGCAGGAAGTAGCGATCCTGACCCTGTCCACGGACGCGGGCTGGGCCCCACACGTCTATGTGAAGCGTCTGCAACGGGGCCTCTGTCGGAGGAAACTGAGAGGAGTGAGGGGCAGCACGCTGGCGCCCCTCGACACAGGGGACACAGGTAGGGCCAGGGCCCGGAGGAAGGGGAGGGAGGGACCGGGGAAGACCAGACACAAGGACTCGCGAGGCCATGCCTCTGAGCCGAAGCAGAGAGGGGTGGCCAAGGCGGTGGTGCCAGAGGAGGGTCTCGTGAGACAGACGACGACACGAGCAGGGGGCAGACTCAGGACCAGACCTGGACGCTGCAGCAAACACCTGACCAGACGAAGGGACCCTACCAGACGTAGCACCTGGAGGAGAAGCAGTGGTCAGTGTGTACAGGCTCGACCCTGGCCGACGTGTAAACGTAGCCAGGTGGCGACCTGTATCCGCCTCCGTGCAGTGGGTCACCCGCTGACGAGCAGGGGTGAACTGGTGGACACCCGCATCCTGGAGGTCAGCACCACTCACCAAGTTCGTCGAGAACGAGGGGAGGTAGAGACCAGTCAGGGTGCCAGAGGGGGCCGCCGGACACGGGAGGACAGTGGAGAAGCGAGACAGGACAGGCCCCCCAGAGGGGTCAGCCAGGGACACCGCAACCGGCCGACTCAGCGGCGTGAGAGTGGTGCGGTCCCTAAAGAAGGAGCGAGACGCTCCAGAGTCAAGGGTGAAGGTGTGAGAGGCCGAAGCCGACACAGTACCTGAGAGGGCAGACTCACCAGCACCTGAGAGCACAGACGCACTGGCACCTAGAGCAGCAGCCTCACTAGTACCTGACGCGGCAGTACCAATGCCCGGGTCGGGCGGGAAACACCGGTAACAGTCGTCCTCATCACTACCAGTCACAGCATACATAGCAGAGAGAATAGCATCAAAATCAAGATCATAAATAGCTACACCAGCCCTAGACAGCTCTCCCCAGCGGGGGATCTCAACGGCCTCCGGAAACTGCTGACGCCAGGCGTCGGTCAGGCGGCCAAAGCAGCGGCGGGCTGTGTGGGCGCCTCCACACCTCTCCCCTACACGGTCACCGGTGCGAAGAACGTAGGGGCAGGGACCAAGCGCACCACCACGCTGACGCTGCAAGTACCACTCACGGAGCTGCTGAGGGGCGGGGACGGTGCGAGAGCGCTGCTGCTGCTGTGGCTGCTGCTGCGGCTGCTGCTGCTGCTGCTGCTGGCGCTGACCACCCCCAGAGCTGCTCCGCTGGGACGAGCCACTCCGACCACCGCCTCCACCGCCACCCCCGCCTCCACCGCCACCCCCGTCTCCACCGCCACCTCCCCAACCAGGACCGTCGCTCCCACCGCTCCCACCGCCTCCTCCGCTACCACCTCCGCCGCCACCTCCGCCTCCACCGCTGCCACCAGTACCTCCACTCCCGCCACCACCCCCACCGCCACCCCCACTCCCCCCGCCACCCCCACCGCCTCCTCCACCGCCCCCTCTAGCTCCACCCGCTCCCTTGCCCCCCTTGCCCTTGCCAGAGCGGCGTCTGCCGCTGGGGGCAGACGCCGCGCCGACCGACTCAAAACCAGCGAGGTCGGCCGCAGCGGCAGAGGCGACAGAGGGCAGCAGGGGGGAAGGACCACACCCCTCAAAGATGGGGGTGCGAGGGTCACCCCGAGAGGCCCCTACAGCGACAATACTCTTCTCAGCCGCTAGCAGGGACTCCTCAAGGAGGTCGACAGTGAGAGTGGTGGGACAGACAGAGAGAAACTGGTCCCTAACGACACGAAGGGACTCAGGGAGACGGGTGACGAGAAAGTAGAGAGTGATGTACATGGGAGGAGGGTTCGCAGCGCGGAACTCAGCAGGAAGGGCAGCGCGGTAGCGGGTGTCACTAGCACGGAGGTGGGTAACGAGGTCAGCGACAGTGGGAAAGGAAGCGAGGTCAGGGAAGAGAAACGGTAGCATGAGGCGGCTAAGGGTAGCGGAGGAAGGGGAGGAGTAGCGTGCAACTACAGCGTCGTACAAGGCCTGAGCGGTCTTGCACTGACTAAAGTGGGCACGCTCAGAGGAAGGGAGGTGGCGACGCACAGCAAGACGTGCAGCAGCATCGCGGGTCACCCACTTGGAGCGAACGGCAGAGTCAGCATCAGCAGGTGGGGCAGGGACAGCGCCAGAGACAAAGTCAAAGAGAGAGACCTCATCTATCGCATCACACAGTAAGTACAGCTGCAGGTCTTCAATCCAGACGGCAAAGTCAATGGCCCTCCCCTCAGCGTCAAAAGTAAGAACATTGGGGGTGGCCATGGCAGCAGCTGAAAGTCTCACCGGGCTGGGAGAGTCGGTTAGGTCAGCAGCAGAGGAACACAGCTCAGGAACAGCAGCACGGCTCCTCAGGCGGCTCGGGCGGCTCGGGCGGCTCGCGCGGCTCGGGTGGCGTAGGGGCTCACGGGCGGCGCGGGCTGCTGGGGCTGCTCACGTGCAGCACGGCGGGCTGCAGCAGGGGCCGGGGGAGGGCTGTAGCGGGGCCGACGGCGGGCCGACGGCGGGTTGTTGCAGGGGCCGGTGGCGGGCTGTAGCGGGGCCGGCAGCGGGCTGTAGCTGGGCCAGCGGCGGGCTGTAGCTGGGCCGGCGGCGGGCTGTAGCTGGGCCGGGGGCGGGCTGTAGCTGGGCCGGCGGCGGGCTGTAGCTGGGCCGGCGGCGGGCTGTAGCTGGGCCGGGGGCGGGCTGTAGCTGGGCCGGCGGCGGGCTGTAGCTGGGCCGGCGGCGGGCTGTAGCAGGGGCCGGTGCGGGCTGTAGCGGGGCCAGTGGCGGGGTGTAGCGAGGCCAGTGGCGGGCTGTAGCGGGGCCGACAGCAGCTGAAGCGGGGCCGGCGTAGGGCCGTGGCGGGGCCGGCGAGGTCTGGGCGGGGCCGACGAGGGGCCGAAGTGGGGCCTAGGCGGGCCGGCGGGGCCTAAGCGGGGCCAACGCGGGGCCGACGGGGCCTAAGCAGGGCCAACGCGGGGCCGACGGGGTCTAGGCGGGGCCGACGCGGGGCCAAAGCGGGGCCTAAGCGGGGCCGACGGGCCTAAGCGGGGCTACGCGGGGCCGACGTGGGGCCTAAGCGGGGCCGACGGGGGCTACGCGGGGCCGACGTGGGGTCTAGGCGGGGCCGACGAGGAGCCGACGGGGTCTAGGTGGGGCCGACGCGGGGCCTAAGTGGGGCCGACGGGGGGTTACGCGGGGCCGACGAGGGGCCTAGGCGGGGCCGACAAGGGGCCTAAGCGGAAGCACGACGGGGAGGGCGACACGGAGGGTCGCTAAAAAAAAATGCGCGCCTCGGGGCGCGCTTCGGTGGGCCCTAGGAACAGGCCCTAAGAAGGGACCTGCTCTGATTCCATGAGAAAGTGTGAACGAGAATGAATGACTATGAAGTGAAGTGAATACAAATAAGAAACCCTAATTGTGTTGTACCCCTTATGGGATACCCCACTATAGCCTACAGAAACAAGTAAGCTATATGTTCTGACACACCCTTGGCACAAACTACTTGATCTCGTTGGCCTAGGCTACTAAGCCTAGGCCGTCCTATACTTTCACCCACTTAGCAAGTAAGGATTTTGTCAGTAACTGTGACTGTGACTGGACAGGCAGTGGACACTCGAAGGGAGGAGGAAGACCAAGAACCTGCTGAAGGAGCGGAACGAAGTACGGCCGAGGCCACGCGGCAACTCCAGACACAGCAGGAACAGCACCAGCACCCCAAGTAGCAGCACCAGCACCAACAGCACCTCCAGCTGCAGTACCAGAAGCACCTGCAGCAGGACCACCGCCAGGACCGACAACAGTAGCCTCAGAGCCAACACCCTCAGCAGCTCCAGCTTCAGTCGTTTCCGCAGGCCCAGCAGCTCCTGCACTCCCAGTACGAGCACCTCCGGGACCAGGGGCACCAGCACCCTCAGCAAACGAAGAAGCTCCAGCTCCAGCAGTACGCCTCCATCGCCGGGCAATTCACTCGCGCAGCTCCTACGGAGAGAGTGGATCCCGCCGAGACAAAGCACCCGGAGAACCTCCAGGTCCAGCATCGCCAGACGCCACATGAGCAGGTCCAGCGGCCGCAGGCTCCACACCCCCAGACTCAGCAGCTCCAGACGTGACACCCCCAAGCTCAGCACCCCCAGGCTCAGCACCCCCAGGCTCAGCACCCCCAGGCGGAGCACCCCCAGACTCAGCATCCCCAGTCTCAACACCCCTAGGCTCAGCACCCCCACGCGCAGCACCCCCAGAGACAGCACCCCCAGGCTCAGCACCCGCAGCAGGACCAGAGTCACCAGTAACCTCGATCGGCTCGACCGCGTCTACCTAGGACACACCTGAAGGGGCAGGACCCTGAGGGGGGAGGGGGTCTACCGAGGGGGGACCTGGCACAAGGAAGAGCGGAGGCGGGGGGAGGGAAGGAGTGCGGTAGGGGAAGAGGCAGTAGTAGGGGACCGACTCGTCAAACGTGACGTCCTGGGAGGACAGAACACGACGAGAGGTGGGGTGGTAGAACTGCCACCCTGGCGCCTCAGGGGGGAAGCCAAGGAAGACAAAGGGAGCAGCACGAGGGGACGATTTGTCCGCAGACAAGTCGCAGACAAACGCCCGAGATCCCCAAACACGGAACGCAGACGCATCGCCTACCTTCCCCGTCCACAGCAAAGCTGGGGAGGTCTCCGTCATGGAGACCCTGGGGTGAAGGTTGATCTGATGCGCCGCGTACCGAACCACAAACGGCCACAGAAAATGGGGGGCAGCCGCATGCATCATGGACGTACGAGCGACGTCCATGACCATGCCAATGCGGCGCTCAGCAATCCCATTTTGCTGTGGAGAGTCCGGAAGCGTAAAGGTCTAGCGGATGCCTCGCGCACGACAGTAGGCTCGCAGAAGGCCAGAGGAGAACTCTCCGCCTCGGTCAGAGTGCAGACGCAGAACAGGAAAGTCCGAGCCGAATCTCCTCCTCAGCTGGAGACGAGCTGCGCGGATCCAGTCGATCAACACCTCAGTCATATCACCCTTGCTGCGAAAGGGGAAGACTGTGGTGTAACGCGAGTAGTCGTCAACCACCAGCAGAAAGTAGCGCTCGTGACCCTGTCCACGGACGCGGGCCGGGCCCCACACGTCCATGTGAAGCGTCTCTAGCGGGGCCTGTGTCGGGGGAAATTGAGAGGAGTGAGGGGCAGCCCTGAGGCGCCCCTCGACACAGGGGACGCAGGAGGGGCCAGGCCCCGGAGGAAGGGGAGGGAGGGACCGGGGAAGACCAGAGACGAGGACATGGGAAGCCATGCCTCGGAGACGAGGCACGGAAGGGTGACCAAGAGGGTGGTGCCACAGGAGAGTCTCGTGAGACAGGAGACGACATGAGCAGGGGGCAGACTCAGGACCAGACCTGGACGCTGCAGCAAACACCTGACCCGACGCAGCTACCTGACCAGACGCAGGGACAGAAGGAGACTCAGTGGTCAGGGTGTAGAGGCTCGACCCCGGCCGACGCGTAAACGTGGCCAGGTGCCGGCCTGTGCGAGCGTCTGAGCAGTGGGTAACCCCCTAATTCGCAGGAGTAAACTTGTGAACCCCCGCATCCTGTAGGTCAGCACCACTCACCAAGTTCGTAGAGAATGAGGGGAGGTAAAGACAAGACAAGGTGCTAGAGGGGGCAGCCAGACACGGGAGGACAGTGGAGAAGTGAGAGAGGACAGGACCCCCAGAGGGGTCTGCCAGGGAGACTGCAACCGGCTGACCAAGCGGCGTGAGTGTGGTGTGGTCTCGAAAGAAGGAGCGAGAAGCCCTTGAGTCAAGTGTGAAGGTGAGGGAGGCCGAGGCCGACGCAGTACCTGAGAGTGCAGACTCACCAGCACCTGAGGACGCACACGCACTGGCACCTAGAGTAGTAGCCTCATCAGCACCTAGAGCAGTTGTCTCAATGCCCGGGTCGGGCGGGAAGCACCGGTAACAGTCACCCTCATCACTAATAGTCACAGCATACATAGCAGCAAGAATAGCATCAAAGTCAAGATAAAAGATAGCGACACCCGCCCTAGACAGCTCTCCCCAGCGGGGGATCTCCGCGGCCTCCGGGAACTGGTGACGCCAAGCGTCCGTCACGTGGCCAAAGAAGCGCTGGTTGTGGTGGGCACCCCCACACTGCTCACCCGCGCGGTCGCCAGTGCGAAGGACGTAGGTGCACGGACCAAAACGCCCACCACACTGATGTGTAGTGTACCACTCACGGAGCTACCGAGGGGGGGGGATGTCCCGAGAATGCTGGTGGTGCTGCGGCTGGCGCTGACCACCACCGGAGCCGCTCCGCTGCAAAGCGCCACCTCGACCAGCTCCACCTCCTCCACCACCGCCTCCTCCACCTCCGCCACCTCCGCCGCCTCCACCGCCGCCACCACCACCACCTCCGCTCCCACAGCTATCGCCTCCGCTGCCTCCGCCTCCACTTCTGCCACCGACACCGCCACCCCGGCTACCACTCCCACCGCCACCCCCACTCCCTCCGCCGCCTCCACCGCCACCTCCACCACCCCTGCTAGCTCCTCCCGCACCCTTGCTCCCCTTGCCCTTGCCAGAGCGGCGTCTCCCGCTAGGGGCAGATGTCGCACCGACCGACTCAAGACCAGCGAGGTCGGCTGCAGCAGTAGAGGCGACAGAGGGCAAAAGGGGGGAAGGGGAACACCCCTCAAAGATGGGGGCGCGAGGGTCACCACGAGAGGCTCCTACAGCGACTATGCTCTTCTCCGCTGCTAGGAGGGCCTTCTCTAGGAGGTCAACAGTGCGAGTGGTGGGACAGATTGAGAGGAAGTAGTCTCTGACTACACGAAGGGAGTCAGGGAGACGTGTGACGATGTAGTAGAGAGTAATGTACATGGGGGGGGGGGTTCTTGGCGCAGAACTCAGCAGGAAGCGCAGCGCGGTAGCGAGTGTCACTAGTGCGGAGGTGTGTAATGAGGTCAGCGACTGTGGGAAAGGGAGCAAGGTCAGGGAAGAGGTACGGTAGCATGAGGCGGCTCAGTGCAGCAATGGCAGGGGAAGAGTAGCGCGCAACTACGGCGTCGTACAAGGTCTGAGCACTCTTGTACTGACGAAAGTGTGCGCGCTCAGTGGTAGGCAGGTGGCGACGCACAGCAAGACGTGCAGCAGCATCGCGAGTGGCCCACTGGGAGCGAACAGTGGCGTCGGCATCGGCAACAGGGGCAGGAGAGGCACCAGAGGTGAGGTCAAAGAGGGAGAGACCGTCTGCCCTATCGCACTGGAGGAAAAGCTACAGGTCATCTACCCAGACCTCAAAGTCAATGGCCCGACCCTCAGCGTCAAAAGCGAGAACACTGGGGGTAGCCATGACAGCAATAGACTAGCAGCGCTAACTGTAGGACAAGGGCAGTGCAGTGACAGAAGCGGTGCTCTCACCAGACAGGGCGGTTCGGGGAGCTCGGCAGCATAGCAGCTCGGGAACACGGCGGCTTGGGCGACTCGAGCGGCTCAGCAGCAACTCCGGCTCGGCGGCACCCACGGCTCGGCTCCTCGGCTACTCGGGCGGCTCGGGCGGCTCGGGCGGCTCGGGCAGCTCGGGCGGCTCGGGCGGAACGGGCGGCTCGGGCTGCTTAGTGGTGCGGGCGGCTCGGTTGTGTAGGGCGGCAGGGCTGCTTGTAGGGCGGCGGGGCCGCAAGGTAGGCGGCGGGGCCGCAGCAAGAGGGGCGGCGGGGCCGCAGCGAAGGGCGGCGGGGCCGCAAGGTAGGCGGTGGGGCCGCAGCGAGAGGGGCGGCGGGGCCGTAGCGAGAGGGGCGGCGGGGCCGCAAGGTAGGCGGTGGGGCCACAGCGAGAGGGGCGGCGGGGCCGCAGCGAAGGGCGGCGGGGCCGCAGCGAAGGGCGGCGGGGCCGCAGCGAGGGGTAGCGGGGCCGCAGCGAAGGGCGGCGGGGCCGTAGAGAAGGGCGGCGGGGCCGCAGCGAAGGGCGGCGGGGCCGCAACGAAGGGCAGCGGGGCCGCAGCGAGGGGTGGCGGGGCCGCAGCGAAGGGTGGCGGGGCCGCAGCGAAGGGCATCGGGGCCGCAGTGAAGGGCGGCGGGGCCGTAGCGAAGGGCGGCGGGGCCGCAACGAAGGGCGGCGGGGTCGGGACAGGGCGGCGCCGGGGCCGTAGGGCTAGGCGACGGGGCCGCTAGGGCGTTGGGGCCGCTAGGGCGACGGGGCCGCTAGGGCGACGGGGCCGCTAGGGCGGCGCGACGCAGTCGCTAGGGCGGCTCGACGAGATGAGAGAGAGGAGCACGACTCGGGCTGAGCGCGCTACGGGCAGGAAAAAAAATTTCGACTTGGTGGGCCCTATGCATAGTTCCCACTAGGGAACTTGCTTGATACCATGAGAAAACTGAAACGAGAATGAATTGACTAAGTGAAAGTTGGGTACAAATACAAACCCTAGAAAGTTGTACCCCATATGTGCTACCCCACTATAGCCTACAATAGCTATGTCATATAAATCTGACACGCTTCAATCCGACGATCGACTGGACGACTGGGTCGTGCGTCGTGCACAGATATGGAGAGAAGACGACGCTTCCGAAATGGACGAAGCCGAAGCCGATGACGACACGTGTCAACGTGGTCAACGTGGCACGAGCGATGAATAGCGGAGCCCAGGCCTTCTTGGTGCACATGTACGAGATGGCAGTTTCCGAGAAAATCGCGGACATCGACAGCCTCTGCGCAGCAGTCCCCGAGGAGCTGGCGAGCATTTTTCGGAGGTATCCCGAAATTTTCGCGGATGACCTTCCGAATGGCCTGCCCCCCCAACGCCTTGTGTCAAACATTATATATGTTGTGTTAGTTTAGGCTACAGTGGGTTAGCCTATAGGGGGTACACAATTCTAGGGTTAGGTACTTGTACTCATTTCACTGTTAGTTCATTCATTCCTGTTCAGTTATTTCAACATGGCATAGAGCAGGTCCTTCCTAGGACCGAAATTTTCTAAGGGCCCACCACTACGTAACTACCTACCTACCTACCTACTTGCGCCCTAGGGTGCCTCGGCGTGTCACGCCCCTAGAGGCCCCTCTTGACGGCCCCGCGCTAGCCCCGTTCAGGCCTTGTCGGTCCCATGCCCGCTCTCCCTAGCGGCCCCGTTCAGGCCCCGTCGGCCCCTTTCAGGCCCCGTCGGCCCCACGCTAGCCCCTTACAGGCCCCGTCGGCTCCGTGCTAGCCCCGTTCAGGCCCCATCGGCCCCGTTTCAGGCCCTGTCGGCCCCGTTTCAGGCCCCATCGGCCGCGCGCTAGCCCCTTTCAGGCCCCGTCGGCCCCGTGCTAGCCCTGTTCAGGCCCCGTCGGCCCCGCGCCAGCCCCGCTCAGGCCCCGATCGGCCCCGCGCTCGCCTCTCTAGGGCCCCAAGCCGCCTCGCCGACCTGTGCCCGCGGTCTCTAGAGGCCCCAACCGGCCCTGTGCCCGCCGCTCCTAGAGGCCACGGGCGGCCCATTCCTGCCGCAGCCCTCGACCGCACCGAGCAGCGTGACCCGAGCCGCGCGACCCGAGCCGCGCGCCCCGAGCCGAGCCGCGCGCCCCGAGCCGAGCCGCGCGCCCTAAGCCGAGCCGCGTGACCCAGCCGAACCGCGCGACCCGACCTGAACCGAGCCGCGCCGCCCTGCCCTCACTGGTTCGTCCTACCTGCTTCTCCTACTGCTACTACTGCTATTTCTGCTGTTCCTATGGCTAGCCCACAGGTTCTCGTGTTTGATGTTGAGGGCCGCCCTGTGAAGTTTGACACATGGCTCGATGACCTGCACCTCTACCTACAGCTCACAGCCAAGGATGACATCTCACTGTACGATCACGCCCTAGGCCATGTCACTGCCCCTGCTGCTACTGCTGACAGCACTGCTCGCTCACAGTGGCAGACTCGTGATGCCAGCGATTTTGCCGTCGACGCCGTCCTGCTATAGGACTTTGGCAACGGGCTGCAACCCATCGCCTACGAATCACGCAAGATGCAGCCACCCGAGCGCAACTACCCGGTCCACGACAAAGAAATGCTGGCCATCGTCCACGCAATTCGTACATGGCGCTGCTACCTCACGGGAGCCGACGTGACAATCTAAACTGACCACAAATCGCTACAGTACATGCGTACACAACCGACACTCAACTCGCGACAAATCCTGTGGTTGGACTTCCTCGAGTCCAATTTTCGGTACACCATCACGTACAAGAAGGGCGCCAAAGCAGTCGTCGACGCCCTCACCCGACCATCCATGCAAAACGGGGCGGTACTAATCGCCCACACCAACCCAATGCTGACGGGACTGCTGCAACCCCTCGCGCCACCCGAACGCCCGTGGCAACAGGTGACGATGGATTTCGTCACGGGGCTTCCAGCTGGCACAAGTGGCAACGACTCGGTGATGGTCGTCGTCGATTGCCTGACGAAAATGGCGCATTTCGCCCCATGCCGAACGATGATCTCAGCCGAAGATACAGCCAAACTGTTCATCTCCACCGTCGTACGCCTACACGGGTTACCTTCGGCGCAGCGATGCGAACCAGATTTGAGCATGTATCCGCCTCAAATTCTGCTCGCATGAAGCTGCGTGCGTGGAAGCGGGTGACATCCGTACAAGACTACACTGCGACGACATGGTGGACGACATGAGTCACCTTAGGGCGCCTTGGCCGACCAAGTGGACGACATGAGTGATGCGGAGCGGCACGATTGATATGTCGTAGGCCTCAAATATGAAGTGCAGTATGAAGTGCGACGAACGAGGCCACGCGACTTCAATGATGCCGTCCACCTGGCCGAATCAACGGACGCGCTGATGCAATGGGCGAGAATGAGTTCCCGGAAGGGAAACCAGTTTCGTGGACCGCCTCGCCAGCCAACAATCAATTGTGTGGATGCGCCAAGACGTGCACCAAGTACGTGCTTCAACTGCAACCAACCGGGCCACTGGAGGAAAGACTGTCCGAAGCTGAAATAGGGGAACAGGAACGACAAAAAGGGGTCGGGAAAAGAGACGAGTCAGTAGCGGCTGGGCCACCTACTGATGAGACCCAGTCGCCCTACAATCACCATTCACACCAAGTAGTGGTACCGGATATGGGCTATCGACCGCAGCCGGACGAATAAAGAGGATAAACACGTGGATCACCTTGTGCTGGTCGTGGGGAGGATTAATGGTTATAATAAATTTATCCATTGACGTGTGGGGCGGGCCACAGTCTCGTCAACCTGGAAACGACAAAAAAAAAGGAGTTAAGCTGGACAGGTGTTTGCCGGAGATTGATGCGAGGCTGGTGGACGGGATACCGCTGGCGATACGGGATGAGGTGCGACAAATTCGGATGAATTGTGGCGACAATTTCGGGTTTTCGATCAAGATGTTGGCAACAACGCTGGACGGTTGTGATGTGCTGCTGGGACGGGATTGGCTGCAACGATACAATCCGACGATCGGCTGGACGACCGGGGTTGGAACGGTGTTGAGCAATAAGGGACGTGTGACGCCTCCGAAATGGGCGGAGCTGGAGCCGACGACGACACGTGTCAACGCGATCACACTAACAAGGGCGATAAAAAGGGGAGCGCAAGGCTACGCTGTACAGCTGTACGAGATGGTTGCGTTTGAGAAAATTGCCGGCTTTGACACGCTCTGCGCTGCTGTACCTAACGATGTGGCGAGCATAATCTGGAGGTATCCCGATTTTTTTGCGGATGACCTGCCTGACTGGCTGCCACCTCATTGTCCAGAAGACCACACGATCGAGCTGGAGCCTGACACGCAACCAACTGTTCGGTCTATGTGGCGGCTCATCCAACCGGAGCTCGACGAGTTGCGGAAACAGTTGGATTATCTGCTCTCAAAGGGTTTCATCCGGCCGAGCACGTCACCATTCGCTGCCCCGATACTATTCACACCGAAGAAGGTTTGAGGCCTGCGCATGTGCATCGACTATCAAGTACTGAATCGGATCACAATCAAGTCGCGTTACCCGATTCCAGGAGCGAACGACCTGCTGGATCAACTTCGCGGAGCTTGCTTCTTCTCGAAAATTGACCTGCAAGGTGGCTACCATTAGATTTGCGTGCTCACTAACGACTGCCCGAAGACTACCTTTTGCACCTATTATGGTAGTTACGAGTATACAGTGATGCCGTTTGAGTTGACGAACGCGCCTTCGACGTTCCAGCTCACCATGAACGGGGTGTTTTGGGATATTCTGGATAAAAATGTCACCGTTTACCTGGACGACATTTTGGTGTACAACAAGACTCGGGAGGAGCATTTACGGGAGTTGGAGGAGGTGTTCCGGTGCCTGCAGTAGAACAGACTGATTGCGAAGGGTGTCAGAATGTTGTATTTGTCAAGCCTGTAGTGGGGTAATCTATAGCGAGTACACCCCAATCTAGGGTTTCCTATATGTAGTCAACTGCTTGTTAATGCAACCACTATTTCTGCTT